ATTTTATTTTCCTGTACTTTTGCAGTGGCTGTCGTTCCAAATTTCAATAATGTATCATGGTGTCAAACTTCTTACAGAAGGGAGGTTGAAGTGGTGTTTTCCCTCCTGATTATGTAGACAGAGAGTTATAGGCTACTTGCCATTCAAGTTCATTTTCTTTTGATAGTAAATATATTTCCATAAATGAGACTTTACAATGCATTTTAATGCGTTCGTCAATCTATGAGGAATCCGGTGAGAGGGAGTTGCATTGCTTCCTGAAATGAAATCTGAAATTAGAGTTTGGAAAAAATCATGAAGCTGGGGGTGATGGATCCTGCCATGGCTGTATTCCACAATGTGATCATATTAAACTCTGAACATTGCATTATACCTCCCATTTCATATTTTACTATTCAGTCTGAAGTTTAAAATTATAAAATGTGTCACACAGAATCCGTATGTGGGTTGCATAGTATTTCCTCCACAGATGTGCTTTTCATATGGGAAAAGAAATGTAGGAAATGTTATTCTATTCAATGGGCCTTACATCTAAAGGCCATGTTTTTGGGCAGTCACACTGTTATTTGTTCAAGAAATGTTCAGAAGGCCCCAGTTATTTTGCCTGCCCTTCCCACTACTAGTATCCTTTAAAATGTGGGTAACTGCTCCATGCTATTTGCAAGTGCCTCACTCTTTGCCCCTGCCGAATTAAGGCGTCTTTACAATGGCCCAGGAAAGCCTCTTCTCCTTCACCTCTCCCTGCGGTATTGTGTGCAACATGTTGGAGGACCTATGACAATAAGCCTCTCTGTGCAGCACCCAAATTCTTTCCCACAACTGAGTTATTCACATCTCATCCTGTTTCTGCTTACTATAATTAGACATAGAGGAGCCTGAAGCAGCCACAAAGATGGCCTTAAAAGATTAAAAATGGAGGAGGGAAATCCAAACTTGAACTGTTTGGTGCCAATGTCACCAGGTTGTGCGGGTAACATCGGTTCCCATCCTTTCCTCTTCCTGTTGCTGGTCATTTTATTATTTCATTTATTCTCCGGTTAACCATCACCCTTGGCTTCTTTACCTTGAACCTGAAGCAGGGAACATTTCAAATACTGTGCCTGCTCGCTGTGCGAAAAGACACTTGCAGCGAACCAGAGCCGCACACGCGCACTCGCGCACTGAACAGTGGCACTCGGTCCCGGCTAGCCCGTGCCGATGGCTGCAGTGCGCGGTGTCGGCCGAACTGGCCACGGGATCCGGGCCCCTTGCTGTAAGTCCAGCGGATCTCTCGCTGGAATTTTATACATATATAGAGGCCCCGTCCTGTCTCGCCAGCTAAGAGGCAAACGGGCCGGCTGAAAGGACACGCGTGTCTGAAGCAGAGAACGGGGCCTTGGCACAATTGCGGAGCAGAGCGCTGCCCTGCAGAGCGAGAGGGAACGGCTGGAAGTAGAGGCGGCTGCCGGTTCCAGGAGGCTGCGAGGAGGCGGGAAGGCACCGGAGGGAGCAGCTCCGCTTTGCCCGCCTGCAGGATGGGGGACGCGCCAGAGAGAGAAGGCTCTTTGTGCGGCCGCAAGCAAGGCGGCGGCGGCGGCGCGGGGGGACGTGTGCGCGAGCGGAGGCGGCGTCGGGATGAGCCCGGGCTGGGAGCGCGCTGAGCTGCCGCGCGGCGGGGCAACAAGAGCTCGCCGAGGCGGAGCTCCCAATTGGGACCAGATGCGTCCTCGAGGCGGCCCCCCGCACCCGCCGCCGCCTGGCGCTCTCGCCGCTCCACACAGGTGCAGGCAAGGGGCTCGGAGAACAAGAGGGGCTCTTGTCTGGCTCCGGCGAGGAGGGGCGTGCCGCCTCCGGGCTTGCCAAACGGCGAAGAGGCTCCGCCGCCGGGATCGCGCCGGCCTCTGGCTCCCTGCTCGGGGCCTTCTGCGGCAGGGCTTCAGCGCCTGGGGCTCGCGGACGGGCTGGAAGGTCTCTAAGCAAACACGTAGAACCGCCCTTGGGGCCCCGAGAGCAAGGAGGGCTGCGGCTCGGGTCCGTGCGTAGCCACCTTCTCAGGCCATGTGCGGCACCCGTCCCCGGAGTCTGCGGGGTCTTCGCTCTGGAGCTGCCCCCCACAGCCCGCACCCCGGGAGGTGTAGGAGGGATTCAGGCAGCCGCTAAGCGCCGAGCTGCAACGTGGAGCGCCCTAGTACAGCGGGGTTGAGGGAGACTCCCGGCCGCGTCCCAGCCGGGTCGGCGCGGCGTTGCGGCGACCCGCTTGGAGTCATCTGAAAACCGCGCTCTGTGGTTCTCCGCTGCGCTCCAGGACTTGGGTGCTTCGTGACCCGGGCAAGCGGGGGGAGGGGGGCGGACCGTCTGCAACCGAGCGCGCTTCTCTGCCGGGAAGGAACCTCTTGCTTCGAGGGCGAAGTCGGCGTAGCCTGACCCCCAAGAAAATGGAAGGAAGGAAAGGAACCTTGGCGAGGCGCACAGCGGAGCACTCGGTCTCCAGGGGAAAGCGCCGGCTCGCCTACTCGGAAGGAGCCTCCATCGCGAGCAGTGCAACGGAAGGGGCCCTAGCAAGGGGCCTCGCGTCGGCCCCAAGCGCAGGGCTTCATTCCCGTCCGGGCGGCAGTTCGCGCGAAATGTATCTGGCACCGCCAGGAAAGCGGAGCTCTGAAAATGAGGTGCAAGAAGCTGAGAGACCCTGGGCGGCTCTATTTTCTCACTCCAAGAGCAGACTGTCTAAAAGCTTGGAGTGCTAGCGCCTAATTTTCGGAAATGGGCAAGGATGACAGTGAAGCAGGTGACCCGCTACCCCAATGGCTAAATGATACTAAGCCAAGGAAGGGAGCCGGGCACCGGAAGGCTTTCTTCTCAAGTCCCACTGGTGCGGAACTAAGCCCCGCCAAAGGAAGTCGGGGAAAGCGAGGCGTGAATCAGAAAGGGAGAAAACCCGTGCAGCGCGGGGAGGCTGGCGCAAGGACGCCACCAATGGCACTGGGGTGGCAAGAGGGCGTGAGTGCGGGGCAGGGGACTGTCCTCCTCTACCCCACGTTAAAGTTTAACTGTCGATTGATACTCAACAAAACCGGGTCTCGATCGAGCAAAAGCTGCTTGCAGCTAAGTTCTGCTGGAAAGGTCATACACAACACTCCTGTCCACAGAAGCAATCGCAAATAAACGTCGCTGGGTTGAACCTGTTATTTTTGCCGCCGCCACCATCAACCAGTCCTAATCATTGCAGCAAGTATCAAAATTTTTTTCCTTCCGCTGCGTTTCCCCGCTCCCATTGCCTCGGGACCCCCGGCAGCTCGCGTGGGGTGTGCGTGTGTTGAATGGATTAAAGCCTCGGCCATGCTTTCCACCGCATCAGGTAGTTGCCTTTCCCTGAACCCCAAACGCCCCTCCCCGCGCCGCCCCAGACTTGACGGAGGATGGCAAGCCCGCGGAGTCCCCTCCCGCCCGGCCTCCCGGGCGACTCCCGGCCTGGCATCGCCGCGGCGCCAGGATCACGCGGGCACGTGGCCGTTCGGCGTGGCAACGGGGGCAGACGCCTCCTTACACCCCGCCCGGCGCGCCTCTCAAGGCCCGCGGTTCGGGCGCTCACCGGGAATGCGCGGAGCGTCAGACGTCCAGAATTCCTTGTCTCAGCCCTGGAAGACAGGAGGCCGCAAGGAAATTGCGCGAGACTCGAGGCTGGTCTGGCCCTCCCGAGGGGGTGCTCGGCCGCGAGTCCTCACGTAAGCGCTGCTCGGGACTCCCAGGCGCTGCCCGGTCCTTGCAGGAGGACAGGCGGCTGCGCCCTCGGCACGGAACACGTGCAGCGGCGCTGGCCGGCCCGCGGGCGGGAGGGGCGCCTCCTCCACGGCCCGGAGAGCGGGGCAGCGGGCGTGAGAGGCGCGCCGCCGTGACGTGCCCAGCCTCCCCACGGCTGACGTAGAAACGTCGGGGAAGAAGCGAGCCCGGAAGGCTCCTGGCCGCGGCAGCGACGTGGCCCATCTCATGCGCTGCGGGAGGGGCCCTCCAGCGTCCCGGGCGCTCTCCCGCGCGGCTCTGGGAAGGCGGGCGCTTTGCTGCCGCGAGAGTAACCCTGAAGTAATGGCGGTGCGACCCTGTGCCTAAGCGCGGGCCTCTCCCTGTCCCAGCAGCGGGACCCGTCAGTTCCTCCCCGTCTCGATCCTCCGCCGCACGCACGCACGCACGTCCGCCCGCACGCACGTCCCTTGAGCGAGCGCTTGGGAAAGCATCCCCGGCTCCTCCCGACAGACTGGACTGCTCCCGAGCAAGGCGAGGGCCGCGGGGGCCGGCGCGGAGGCAGAAGAGCGCTTCGCCAAGTAGCCTTTGGGCGCAAGCGGAACCCGGACCGCTCCGAGGTGTCCAGGGCGCCCCTCTCAAGCCTCTTGCCCGGCGTCGAGTCGAGAAGCGGGGCGTGGGGGACCCTACACGGGGAGGCGGCAGGCGCTCTCCCCGCGGCGCCTGGAGACTCGCCATGGCTGCGTTTGCCCCGGGACCCGCTCCGTGCGCGGATGTCCCGGCGCATCCCTGCGTTCCCTTCCCTGTAAAGCCATTAAAGAGCACAGCTATAATGTGATAAACACAGAGCGGCACGAGTGACATTTCCTCTTGATTTGCGCCTGACGAGCTCTCTCTGCTTTCTCGTATAAAAGGGAGGACGGAGGCCCGCGACGCTGGGATGACCTCGCTGCCTCGGCTGCGGAGACTTCTGGTTAAGCTCTGTACGGGAGACTTGCCGTATCAATTAAAGGGTGATATATGATACCTGACGGCTCGTCCCAGACCTAAACTGAAACTAATAGGTGATTAGAACGGAGTCGGAGGGCCCCCAGGACGGACGGGTGAGACGGATGGATTTCGAAAAGTATGAGGTGACCCTCAGAGAGGGAGAAGGAGGGACCGCCGCCTGCCCTGGGCCGAAGAGGCCAATGCGACGGCTCCCCTTGAAGTAGGAAAGCCACGGGACTTATTTGGAACAGGAAAAGGAGGTAGGGGCTTTTAAAGGCTCGGGGCAGGCCAAGTAAATGCTCCCCGGCGCGGGGCTGCGCCGCCAGTTGAGCGCTTCCCAGCCCCGGGAGCAGCGCAGCGGCTCCGCGCGCACCTCCGTCCCCCGCCGCCCGCGCAGTCGGCGCGCAGCCAGCGCCAGGCCGCAGCGGGCGAGCGTCGCCGCCCGGCAAGGGCGCGGGGCGGGCGCGTCTCCTGGGGCGCGGAGGGCGCGAGGGCCGGCGCTGCTCGGATCGCGCCGCAAGCAGCCGGGCCCGGGGGGCTTCCGTAAGTCCGAAGGGAGCGTGACATGCGCGAAGGGGCAGAGACGCCCTCCTCCGGCGGCGGCGGCCGCGTTGCCTGCAGACACAACAAAGCCTTCGGGACGGACAAACGCACCGCGCCGGGGCGAGCGAACAAAGCGGCCGCAGACGCTCCGCGCCGGTGCGGGCGGGGCGCCGAGGCGAGGCAAAGCGAAGCGAAGCGCGCCGCGCGGGTCACCGCTGCCTGCTCGCCTCGCCAAGGCGTGAGCTCCGATGGCCGCGGGGGGCAGAAAGAGACAGCGTGCTTGGGCATCTGCCTTCGAAGGGGGATTTAAAAACCATCCGAGGAGCAGAGCGCTCCTAGCAGCTCCCTGCCACGGAAACTGAAATGCCTGCCTCCCCCCCCCCCCCGCAAAGGGGATCATCCCCAGGACCCTCTTTCTTTCTGAAACTTGTCAAAATCTAGTTCCCCTCCGTCTGCCTTTTCTTAATGCTCACCGTTCTTTTCTAATTTGCTGAGCGAAAAACTCAATTCAGCTACAGAAGCAAAGCTGAGCAGGACTGGGCTCAAGCCCGCTTCGAAGCAAACACGAGAGATGAAGCATTTGCTACCGAAAATCCAGATGGGGAAAGCCATTCTAGGCACGGTTACTTGGAAGTAAGCTCCAAGTATACCTTATCTCAAGCGTGTCCAGTACTGGAGCAGTAGGGAAAGTACATTTCACACGGGATGGTTTTCTCTTCAGAGGCATCGGCATGGATTACACGTGCCGAAGCGCATTTTGCTTTTGAAGCTTTACCGAAAACACCGTTCTTCTATCTCAGAACGCACGTGCACCGCAATTCAATGCGAGTTTACATTCAAGTGAACTGCATCGAGTTGAGTGGACCTTGCTTTACAGAGCGCTAAAATTGCTACCTAAATTGCCAAGCATTTATCTGGGAACCCTCACGCTCGCATCTCATTTAAATTGCAGATACTCCTGTGTAAATTGATTTAGGATGGCTGCGTTGCAGTGCAAACGCATTCAAGTCTCTCTCCGTGGAAGTGAATGTCAGTGACCTCAAAAGGATTTTGAGTAAGGGTATGCAGAATTAAGATCCCGTGCATCTGGGAGTCCTGTGCATATTTTCTTGGGAGTATATGTTACTGAAATTTATTAGGACATACGGCTGAGTAAACATTGCGCTGTTTTAAAGTGGCAATTCTGTAGAAGGCTCAGAGTCGCCTGGAATGCCATCGTTTGTCAGGCACGTTTTATGCACACGGATTTGCTCCTGCTTGCTTACTTAAGCGCAGACACAGTTCTGAGCTCAGCAACCATCGGGTCGGCCTTTCAGCTCTCGGAAGAGTTCATACCTCTAAATGTGTTGGTTTTCCTGCTTTCTCCCAGGGGTGATGGGGGAAGGGCGGGAAGGAGGGGAGGGGAGGGGCAGGAAGAGGGATGCTTCTGTCATCTTCTCTCTCGTTTAAATGTCGAGAGAAATTGAGCTGGCGTTTTCTCAGAGTTGTAATATATCGCGTCTCAACGCTCGGCTCCACCCCCCAGCCCCACAGCAAAAGGTCAGGTGAAAGGCTCCTGCAGGTAAAGTTCGCTCCTTGGGTCACAAATTGTTCCTTTCTGCCCACCCAGGTCGATTCAGATCTGTTTATTTAGGGGGCAAAAAAACCCCCTAGCAAAATAGAAAACTGGTACCAGCATTTCCCATCGAAAGAGGGCTGGAGGGTTAAAAAAGGCCCTGTTCTACCTCCTGCCAACTAGTCAGTCAGTCTCTTTCTCGAGCGTGCCTTATTCTCCATCCACAAGACTTTGCAGGAGCACCGTAGTAATCATCAGCCACAAAAATAGCATCCAATTTGCAGAGATGTTTAGAACACGCAGGAAGCCTCCCCTCCCCCAGCCCAGCTTGCTTTCTCTCCTATTTTACGGCGCAGTCTGGATGGCTTAAATCTAGGGCTTCTTGGGGAAAGCGGGCGGAAAGTCACTCTAGGGAGCACAGAAAGAACCTGAGAAGTAAGCGGGGGGGGGGGGGAGAGGGGGGTGATCGAGCCTGAACCCACAGTTAATCTGTGTGTGCCTGTGTTAGGGAGAGGGAGATGAACCCACAGCCAAGCCAAGGACTTCTCCGACTGCTGCATCTTTTCTGGCTGGCACCGGATCAAACGAATCTTTTGTTTCAAATCAAAAGCGAAACCGCTGGAAACAGCACCAGCGCGCCCTGCAATCCACCGCGCAGTGCCCGGGAAACGGAGCCCAGGACATGTCTCGCCTTGCAACAAAGCCCCATTGATGTTGAAAAGTCGGGCAGCCCTCTGCCAGCCCCTTTCTTCAGCACCCTCGCCTGAGACGCGTTCGGGTTCCACCAAAATCTGCACGGAACTTACTTCCAAGTCGGGGCTGCTCTCAGAGCGCGCTCTAGGAAAGAGAAGCTTCTCTAAACAGGGCAGAGGTTAAGCAGGACTCTGTTGGGACTTTGGGTCCTGGCTGGACTGGTCTGAGGCTCGGCAGGCAGGGGCACGTTCTCCGGATCCCTCCTGGCACGACTGGGCTCCAGCAGGGTCCTTCCCGCCGCCCCGCCATATAATAAATGATATGCTCAATTGCAAGTCGATCACAGAAAGAGTGGCGGGCCGCGGGGAGGAACGGAGGCGAAGCGGGTAAACACAAACGAAAATAAAAAGGCAAACGGTGGAGGGGAAGGCGGGCGGGGGCGGGGTGGGGGAGGGGAGGGGAGGGTGCCCTAACCAGGCCGGAAAGCGGAGGGAGATGTCAGAAAACTTCTGGAAAGCTGCAGAACAAAGAAGTAGGCCCAGCCTTCGCCCCAGCTCCGGATTCCCTTGCTTCCCCCAAACTCCCCAGTCGAGAGTGGCTCCGAAAGGCTTTAGCCCAGCGCTGCCCGGGGGGCGTCGATCGCCCTCTTTGAAAGCCCGGGACAACCTGGTCCTAAAGCAGGCAGCTCCTCCTTGTAAGAGACACGCTGGCCCAGCTCAGGGGACTTTCACACTCTGCACAAGGAAGCGCGCTCAGGATGAGGGCCTGCGATGAACGGGGGGCCGAGAGGCTCTATGGCATGAGAGAGGCGGCTTATAAGTGTTTTAATAAACAGTAAATGATCTTGGCCTGCGCTCCTGCACACGCTTGCCTAAGAGTAAGCCGCACTCAACGCCACTGGACCGACCGCTGAGTAGACGGGCGCAGGACCGCAAAGCACGGTTCGGTGGGGTTTCGCTCAGGGGCTTTCTGGCAAAAATGCGTAGGATCTGCTGGGAGGGGGCGAAAACGAAACAACGCCTCTTTCTGCTGGAAGAGCCCCAGGAGGGACACCGCAACGCTCGCAAGCCGTGGCTGCTTTTCAGGGGGATCCTGGGCTGCTTCCCATTCCTAGAAGGCACGGGGTTAGGATGGCAACCCTCCTCTACACGCGCATGGGAACAAGTCCCACAGAAAGCTGGACGGGGCTGGCAGGGTCGCCCGTGCCGTGCCCGGCCAGCCTGGGATCGCAGGCTTTCCCGCTCCCTTCGCCGCAGTGAAGTCCCTGCAACGAGCTCTCGCCAGTCGCCCGCAGCGAGGGCCATCCAAGCGCTGGACCTTCTCGGCGAAATTCCTGCGCACTGAACTGCAGAGCTATTTCGGGGCGTGGATGCTCTGAAGATCGCCACGGACCTTCCTTGGCTGAGCTTGATTTCTGCTTTCTTTTCCCTTTCTTAGCTGTATCCCTCCTCCCAAAAAAGAAAGAAAATAAAGCCCACCCGCTACAGGCAACAGCCAAACAAGGGGCGGGAGATTAGCTAAGGAAGGGGCCCGACTAAATCGAATGGGTGGAGCGCTCGAAGCCGTTTGGCAGGGCCACACCACCGGGCCCCCCAAACCGAGAGGCCTCGTTAAGGTTTAGTTCTGTCCAGGAGATCCTTTTGCCTGGTGCCGGCATGGAAGACTGTGAACCGAGCTGGGCTGGCACGCTGGGCCACTCTCGCCAAAGGCTCAGCCCGTTCCGTCTATCAGGCTCGCCTCCGAGCCAACCTGCTCGGGCGCGGGACGCGGCGCTAATGGCCGTTCCCAGACCTGCCTCTCCTCTCCTCTCCTCTCGTCTGCGCCCCCGCGCAGTTACCTCCCCCGCCTGCCCCGCGCCTGCCCCCGCATGGCAGCGATCGCCCGCTCTTCTGCGCCCGCCGCCTCTCTCGCTGGATGTGCGCATCTGGACAGGATAACGGAGCCGGCTGGCTAATTGCTGCCCGTCGGAAACCAGCCCCCGCCCGCCGCTGCCCAGGCCCGGCGGCGAGCCGCTCCCCGAAGCTGGCCTATTTCAAGCGCACACGGAGGGTCTCTCCTCCGCATGACTTCCTCCTCGGTGAACTTACGCCTCTTCCTCCCACTGGAGGCATTTGGCCATTGTCTCGCTCAGGCAGACGCCGGTTCATGAAAATAAAACACAATCGCCCATTAGGCTGCTCCAGGGCCGTCCTCGGCAGGGCCGCGGCGGGGCACATCCGCCGCCCACCCCCACCTCCCGGTCTGCTGCTGATTGAATTTGGTCCCTTTCTGGCCCGGCCTGATCTGATTCGATGGGGCACCGGCATCTCCAGCCCGGAAGGCGGGGAGTCCCGCACCTCATGGCCCGGGTGGGCCAAACCGGCCCCCGCGGGGCTCTCAGCGCGCCTGCTGGCTGGGCCTTCTCCTGCTGCGGAACACCCACCTTTCTTCAGGGGACCTTCCCATTCGAGGCAAGGAGCGAGGGGGGTGCACTGCCCAGAAGCCCGGAGAGGGTCTGGAAGAGCTTTCCTGGCAAGCCACTCTCCGTGCGTCAAGAGGTTGCGCTGCGGTGGACAGCCCCACTCTGGAGCAAACAGTGGCCCTCCATGCTCCCTGGAGAGCCCCCAGCCTTTCCAGTCTCTGGCTTCCTTCCATAAGGAGAAGCACCCCAAACCAGTTCGATGCAGCCCTTTGTCTCCGTTTCCTCTTGGTGGACACCCTTTCCTTCCCCCGCATCCCCTCGCGGTCACTCAGGTTTCAAATCACCGGCAAGCTTCCCATCGGAATACTTCCCCAGAGGATGGACAAGGCCTCTAAAGACAAGAAGCACCCAGGAGAGCCGCCTGCGTGCATCGAAATGGTTGGGTTCACTGTGGAAGCGAAGCGGAAAAGGGGGGCAGGGGGCAGGGGGGCAAGCAGGCGGAAAAGCACCCCCGGGGGGGAGTTTTGTAAGCAGTGGGGGTGGGGAGGGATTCGCACTCCACCTTGTCAAATTATCACGTCAGGAAAAGGAAG